AAGCGGCGTCACTATTTGCCCACTCTCGAAGGAATGTGGCGGAGAGAGAGAGAGAGTGAAGAGTGGAGAGTGGAGTGTGGAGAGTGGAGGGTGGAGCGGAGCGGCGTAGGCACAATCCAACTGGGAGGACTCGAGTCAGCCGCAGTGGCTCGAGACCAGCCTCGGAAACCCGCTGGCCGAGTGGAATGTGCGTCTGCCTGTGTGTGTGTGTGTGTGTTTGTATGTGTGTGGTGGTGGTAAGTTGTCGAGAGCAATTTCTACTCCCTCGCCTCTCTGGAGCACAGACAATTGGACAACAGAACTGCTCTACTCTCCAATCGACGAGACTTTGGATTGCCACCGAGACGCAAATGAGGCAGCAAAAAACGCAAACCAAGAAAAGCGGCCAACTGCGATACTTTTTGTGAATTCTTACACAGAATTTCGTCATCTCAATCGCGTTCCGCATCATTTGGTTGTCCCACTTTCGGCTTTTTCACACACACACATGCTTGCAGTTGAGAGGTGAGGAGGAGTGGAACTGTATGCGATTGTGTGTGTGTGTAGATCTTGATAGTCAATTTTTCCCACAAATGCATCACACAGCCTCGTGCTGCACATTGACAAACTTTGGGGAGCAAGGCTAGGCGAAATTGAACGCAACTGTGAAACCAACTCATACGTTTGTGGGAAAAAATGTGAATTGTGCTGAATACAGCTCTTATCGCTCAACTCGATCTTGCCTAATTTCATACACTCGACCTTCCCTTCCACGAGGCGGGTGGTTTCACTAGCTTCTACCGACTGCCTGACCTTTTTCTCGCCGTTAAAACCAACATTCCTTGCACAGCTTTGCGTGTCAGACCTGGTCTGACCTCATGTACCCACCTTGGCCGTATTGTCAGGCCGACCTCGCTGAACATAATTCGTCCGAAATCGTCTGCCCGAGGGCTCGAGGCGATCTACAACTTCGGACTGTGAACTTGTTGCATTTTCACATGCTTGGGCCGGCATCGTCAGACGCGAGAAAGAGGCCAGAGAAGTCCATGCCTCGACACTCTGATTTTTTGCGCAGGATTTTGTAATGGCTTCAAGACCTACTTAAAACGGATATAAGTAGTGCAGTCGATTGCAATGGGAAAACACAAGTTTGTCAGTTGTGTTCACACTATTTCATGTAAGGCGATCACACCTGTCCTGTGATGCAGTGATTAGCATGTCGAGATTATGCGCCGTACCAGCAGAACGTGGGCTCGAGTCCCGATGGGAATAACTTTTGGCGACCTAGATTGACTGAAACTGTGATTCTCTTGTTGCCACTTCAACCAAGCAACCGTTGACATGTCCACCGGCATCGGGTGTGCCCTGTTGGACGAGGGTGAATTTCAGCCGAGAGCCGTTGCAAAGGGCGGGGTAAGGGGGGGTGGTGGTGATTGATAGACTTGTAAGTAGTGCAATCGTGTGCACTTTTGTCATGTGCATGTGTCCTCGTGTGTCTCGGCGACACCGGCTCCGCGGGACGACCTGGCAACCGGCGGACATGACGCCTCGGAAGGGCCGTGCGAGGCAGACGTTCAACCGTCGTCGGCACGGAGTTCACGATCAGCTGACGTTGTCCGAACACGACTGTAGCGGCTTCGCGCATGTGTTGGCATGGTTGCCAGGACTACCCAAGTCGACCGGTGCACACGGTCTCCGGGTGCCTGGTCGCGACGGCAATGCAGCCTGTCAGAGTTGACGGTGAAAAAGCCTGACAAGTGGCAGTCACCACGACAACCAAGGCATGCAGTGCTCGTGTAGAGAGGGAGGGCGGAGGTGATGAAACGTGTCGACTGGTTGGACAAAACGAGAAGGCATGACAACAGGACAAACTGAAGGAGCCGAGCTCAGCAGAAGCGACTACATCTGCCCACATCACCTCTTCCGCGTCACCATGACGACACCGACAGCGGCACCGATAATCATGTCAATGGGAAGAAGGTGATCGAGATGGGAGATGTGAAGCGAATAATCGAGTCAAAACGGAAAAGCCAAAGTTTTTTGGCGAAGAAAAGAGTGAGATTGGAACAACATACTACTGATAAAGTAGGCGAAACTACTTGCAACGAAATAATAGGCTTTTAAAGTCCGACGAACGTGGTCAGGTGGGCTCTATGATGCTACTTCTTAAGGACGAGTGCCTCCAAATGTGGCGCTGCTACGCGAGTTGGTTAAGAGCAAGACCAAACAAAGAGCAGAAGTGGGATCGAAAAATGGGTAGAACTATAATTGGGCTCTGTTGTAACAAGTCATTGGCAAAATTATAAAGGCAGCATTCACACCGACTTCGTTTGAGGTGTTAAAGACTTGTACCTCGATTTCATATAGCCTTGCTTCACAAAAGATTTGCTCGTCCAAGCAGGATTGGTCTGAAGCTTCGAGTTCATCAAACGGGACTCGAACTCGGGTTGTGCTGGTGCAATCTATAATACAGACACATTGATGACTACGCAACTGCTACGAGTGCCTCCAGGTCACGGTAAAAGATGTTTATTTTAAGGAAGGCCAGCTCTATAAAATATTAATTTATGTTGTGGTATTGTTGATGAAGCCAAGCTGTATTTACAATAGCAACCGAGTAGATCATTTATTTTAGTTTATAACTAGGCCATCAAACTATAAATAGAGCATATATGCTATCTCCGACAATTACCCACAGAATATAATATGGGAAAAAGCCTGGTTAACGTGTCGAGATGATACGCTGCACCACAACAATCTGGGCTCGACTCCCACAGGGGCTGATGATGCGACATGTTAAAGTAAAGTAGCAGCTGTAGGCCAATATTGCTTGTATGAGAAAACGTTTTGGAAAGTAAGGTTATGCGAAATTCGCTGGAAACGAGAGGCCAAATCAACCGAATAGGAAAAAAGATATAACAAAAGTATCTTATAATCTTAAAGGAACTAGGGAAAACACATCTCACAGGTATGATCTGCTGGTAGCTTCTTCATATTTACTTAGAAACTAAGAGAGACTTAAGGCGATATAAGGAGATTTGAGGACTGGTAGTTGTAAGTTCCCAGAAAAAAGATAAGTAAACCGCAGGCTTTCATTCAGAAGCAGGAATAAAGTTTTACAATTGCCTCATCATTTAATGTAAAACTCAGACAAAAGACTTTGCCTAGGGAGACTAAGTATTATTTAAAGAATTGCTGAAGGCCACGTAGCATACTCGAAGAGAAATGAAGTTAACTTTAGGGGAAAAAGACATGGTTCTTTAGCTATAGAACGAAAGACAAGAAGATTTTGCGTGGTATCGGTTGTCAAGTGGTACATTATCATTACATATGAAAAGGTCCGGGTTCCAGGTTTGGTCAGATGAACTCACAAGTGCTAGTACTAAAGAATAGTAATATACACCCGAAAAGACAAAAATGATCATATCAGAATCACCACGACTAACATCACCAAACATCACATCCCATCACATCACATCATATCATAACACATAA